ATGTCTTTGGAAACGTTTTGTGGATTGCAAAAAAATGAATCATAAAATAAAATAAATTCTTCCTCGTGATTCTTAAAATCATTAAAACGTTTATCAAATTTTACTAACAAATTTTGTATAATTTTATAATTAATATTTGTCCGACTAAAGAATAACTGATGCTTCAGCATTTTCTGATACTAATATTCTACTCGATATACAATGATGAATCCAATTTGAAGTTGTTCTTCTACTAATCGAATTTATATATTTTTGTGTAAAAATGTAAGAAATCTCTATAAATTGAAGATCACGGATGATCTGACATCGTAGGACGCATTTCTAGAGTATGTGCTCTGTAATTGGACTGGAACCACTGGAATAAACGAATTAGAATAAAGAATGAATACGAAACTTACAGAAAAATTGAGAGGCATATTTAGATGTTGCAACTGCGTGGCTTGCGTCAGATCCGGCAAACTTTGGCTTCTTTTATTCGTCGCAGATATAATCTTCTCCACGCCGTGCGAAAATTCTGGTATCGTATTATTATTGCCCGATGGATGACGAGTTATAATTTTGTTCATAGAAGAATGCTTTAAGTTGCTCCACGTAGTATATATTTTAGAATCTGAACACGCCATCGATAAATCTAATACATTTTTCAGGCCCGCGTTTCTGTTATAGTATGCTTCTCTTGCTTCATATGTCTTTTGCTTCTCTGTAGGAAAAGCAAATTATATTTTCCTGCTACTTGTGTACCGTGACGTCCATTAATATTTAAAGACATTTCAAAGCAGAACAATTTTTTCAATATTAGACCAAACAACTTAATTCTCTGTGAGACGTTAGGAGGCCTAGTTTACTATTCTGGGTGTTCGGCTAATGGTGGGAAAAATTTTAAGGGATGACTGTAGAAATCAAAATAAAATAAAAATCTAGAAAAATCCGAAGCTTCATTTTTTAGTTATAAGCTATTAAATATTAGCCCTGCTAACAGTAATCGTCAGAGGCAACATACATCTAAAAGTCTAAATGCTAATATATTTGGTAGCAGCTATCGTTACGTTGAGCATATTATATTTTGGGGATCACTGCTGGTCACAAGACTATCATCATGTAAACAATGGTTCCCAAACTGTAACATATCGAATGATAGCTGCTATGAAAGTATATTAGCATTTAGACTTCTAGATGTACATTGCCTCTGAGAGCTACAGGCAATAGACAAGTTTCTCTATCATCACGCTTATAACTAAAAAATGAAGTTTTTATTCTTGACTTCACCTTTATTTTACGATCATTCCTTAAAAGTTTCCTGTCAATAATCGAACACCCTTTATACTGTATAACAAAATATCTTAACAAATTGTTATTCGAAGTCTCCAATAACAAAGTAAACGACATGATTTTTCACTTTTTTATTAAGATCAAAATTTAAATATGCCGATGTATGCAAGAATAAGTATGTTAAATTTTGCTACCATAATAGTATCGTACTTTATAGTAAAGCTACAAATCGCTGCGGATTTAATAAGATTGAAGAAAGATTTAACAAGTAGTGAAGAATGTATAAAAATACACGGCATAGTTGATAATCAATTATCGACAGATATTTATACTAATATGATTCAGTATGCATGGCATACTTGTAAATTAACAGAAAACGGAAGAATTTAAAAAAATTTAAATCAAGTGACACAACAAATAAAGAAATGAAAGTCCGATCAGGCGTGCTAT